CCTGCTGTTGCACAACTCTGTATGCTCGTGTAGCGACCACCCCTGCCCGTACACTTAAGTACGCAACTCTGTATGCTCGTGTGGCGACCACCCCTGCCCGTACACTTAAGTAGTCATTAACCCCTAGGCCCTGCCCACCCAATTCTTCCTCACTCTTTCTCCTTTCTTACACTATTATCTCTTATTGGCCACTGGCTATCGTGAGAATAAAGATTTGAAACAACAACAACAACAACAACAACAACAACAACAACAACAACAACAACAACAACAACAACAACAACAACAACAACAACAACAACAACAACAACAACAACAACAACAACAACAACAACAACAACAACAACAACAACAACAACAACAACAACAACAACAACAACAACAACAACAACAACAACAACAACAACAACAACAACAACAACAACAACAACAACAACAACAACAACAACAACAACAACAACAACAACAACAACAACAACAACAACAACAACAACAACAACAACAACAACAACAACAACAACAACAACAACAACAACAACAACAACAACAACAACAACAACAACAACAACAACAACAACAACAACAACAACAACAACAACAACCGTGCCTGTAATTATTTTTCTCTTATTGGCCACAGGCCATCGTGAGAATAAAAGAATTCAAACAACAAGAACAAGAACAAGAAAAAGAACAAGAACAAGAACAAGAACAAGAACAAGAACAAGAACAAGAACAAGAACAAGAACAAAAACAAGAACAAGAACAAGAACAAGAACAAGAACAAGAACAAGAACAAGAACAAGAACAAGAACAAGAACAAGAACAAGAACAAGAACAAGAACAAGAACAAGAACAAGAACAAGAACAAGAACAAGAACAAGAACAAGAACAAGAACAAGAACAAGAACAAGAACAAGAACAAGAACAAGAACAAGAACAAGAACAAGAACAAGAACAAGAACAACAACAAGAACAAGAACAAGAACAAGAACAACAACAAGAACAACAACAAGAACAACAACAAGAACAACAACAAGAACAACAACAACAACAAGAACAACAACAAGAACAACAACAACAACAACAAGAACAAGAACAACAACAACAACAACAACAACAACAACAACAACAACAACAACAACAACAACAACAACAACAACAACAACAACAACAACAACAACAACAACAACAACAACAACAACAACAACAACAACAACAACAACAACAACAACAACAACAACAACAACAACAACAACAACAACAACAACAACAACAACAACAACAACAACAACAACAACAACAACAACAACAACAACAACAACAACAACAACAACAACAACAACAACAACAACAACAACAACAACAACAACAACAACAACAACAACAACAACAACAACAACAACAACAACAACAACAACAACAACAACAACAACAACAACAACAACAACAACAACAACAACAACAACAACAACAACAACAACCGTGCCTGTAATTATTTTTCTCTTATTGGCCACAGGCCATCGTGAGAATAAAAGAATTCAAACAACAAGAACAAGAACAAGAAAAAGAACAAGAACAAGAACAAGAACAAGAACAAGAACAAGAACAAGAACAAGAACAAGAACAAGAACAAAAACAAGAACAAGAACAAGAACAAGAACAAGAACAAGAACAAGAACAAGAACAAGAACAAGAACAAGAACAAGAACAAGAACAAGAACAAGAACAAGAACAAGAACAAGAACAAGAACAAGAACAAGAACAAGAACAAGAACAAGAACAAGAACAAGAACAAGAACAAGAACAAGAACAAGAACAAGAACAAGAACAAGAACAACAACAAGAACAAGAACAAGAACAAGAACAACAACAAGAACAACAACAAGAACAACAACAAGAACAACAACAAGAACAACAACAACAACAAGAACAACAACAAGAACAACAACAACAACAACAAGAACAAGAACAACAACAACAACAACAACAACAACAACAACAACAACAACAACAACAACAACAACAACAACAACAACAACAACAACAACAACAACAACAACAACAACAACAACAACAACAACAACAACAACAACAACAACAACAACAACAACAACAACAACAACAACAACAACAACAACAACAACAACAACAACAACAACAACAACAACAACAACAACAACAACAACAACAACAACAACAACAACAACAACAACAACAACAACAACAACAACAACAACAACAACAACAACAACAACAACAACAACAACAACAACAACAACAACAACAACAACAACAACAACAACAACAACAACAACAACAACAACAACAACAACAACAACAACAACAACAACAACAACAACAACAACAACAACAACAACAACAACAACAACAACAACAACAACAACAACAACAACAACAACAACAACAACAACAACAACAACAACAACAACAACAACTCATCCTCTCCCATACTTGTAAAGTTCAAAGTGATGTAAATCACTTTCCAACTGTTTAAAGGGGAAGTTAAGGCAAAAATCAAAATTTCACCAGTTGTCTTCGGGGTGCTGAGTCGAATGGTCTTGGTCCGAGGAAGCTGAGACGCTCCCTTCCTACTTGAATCCCAATCGAACTTTGCGCCCTTCCACCGAAACTGGGTGACTGCGCCCTACTAGATGGGGATTTGTATGCAAAATGTCACTAAAAGCGCCATTTCGTTCTAATAAAAGCACGGATGACCGCGATTGGCCCATATGTTGTAGTCTTTTGGACGCTGAGTCGACTGGTTTTGGTCCGAAAAGGCTGCGATGCAGCGTTCCTCCTTTATTCCCAATCGAACATGGTTGAACAAGCGGTCACGTGCTCCTGCGTACGCCAGTCACCTGGTCACCGTGCCTGCAGGGTACAACTTACTAGCCTGTTTGACCTTTTTTGGGTGCAGTCCTGTCACTCGAGTTGAACCTTGGTGTGAAAGTTGTCGCCTGCTGGCGTGGTGACCAGGTGATTTGGGCACCCAGGAGCACGTGACCGCTTCTTCAACCATGTTCGATTGGGAATAAAGGAGGAACGCTGCATCGCAGCCTTTTCGGACCAAAACCAGTCGACTCAGCGTCCAAAAAACTGCAACATATGGGCCAATCGCGGTCATCCGTGCTTTCATAAGAACGAAATGGCGCTTTTAGTGACATTTTGCATACAAATCCCCATCTAGTAGGGCGCAGTCACCCAGTTTCGGTGGAAGGGCGCGAGTTCGATTGGGATTCAAGTAGGAAGGGAGCGTCTCAGCTTCCTCGGACCAAGACCATTCGACTCAGCACCCCGAAGACTACAACTGGTGAAATTTTAATTTTTGTCTTAACTTCCCCTTTAACCCACAATCTCACCTTCTCATCAACTTATCTCTTATTTGGCGATGGTGCCATCGTGAGAATAAAGAATTCAAACAACAACAACAACAACAACAACAACAACAACAACAACAACAACAACAACAACAACAACAACAACAACAACAACAACAACAACAACAACAACAACAACAACAACAACAACAACAACAACAACAACAACAACAACAACAACAACAACAACAACAACAACAACAACAACAACAACAACAACAACAACAACAACAACAACAACAACAACAACAACAACAACAACAACAACAACAACAACAACAACAACAACAACAACAACAACAACAACAACAACAACTACATCTTACACTATTATCTCTTATTGGCCACTGGCTATCGTGAGAATAAAGATTTGAAACAACAACAACAGCAGCAGCAGCAGCAGCAGCAGCAGCAACAACAACAACAACAACAACAACTTCGACTTATCGTTCGACCGGGTGTGGCACCAAGGACTGCTTGCAAAATTGGCCCACCTTGGACTTGAGGGCAAATGCCTCCAGTGGCTTGCCTCTTATCTCACCAACAGACGACAACGTGTGCAAGTGGAGAGCAGCAAGTCAACCTGGCTGAACACTCCAGCGGAGGTTCCCCAAGGCTCTGTCTTGGGGCCGCTTTTGTTCACGGCCTACACAGTTAATCTGCCAACCGCCTAAATACAAGTACATGCCAACACCGAGTGCAGCCAGTTTGCAGACGACACTGCCATCATTGCCGCTCATGAGAAATTTCTAGCCGCAGAAGAGCACCTCCAGTCAGCTGTGACAACCGCCGTACAGTGGCTGAAAGATTGGGATCTCGTGGCCAATGAAAGCAAGACCACTGTCATCCGCTTTCACCACACCAACCGCCCACCTCCCAGACCATCATCAATCAGACTCAACGATACCAACCTCACTGTGGCCTCAAGGCATCGCCACCGTGGCCTCATCATACAGCAAAATCTAGGCTTGAACTCGCATGTTAACTACGTTATCACTAAAGCGTCCAGGAGGATGTTCCTTCTCCTGCGACTACGCAATTCCTTGAACACTTCTGCTCTCTCCTCCATCTATCTATCTTACATTCGCCCTATTTTTGAGTATGCTTGCACGTTCTCTCACCCCTCCCTGCAACCCTCAATGACTGGCTTGAGCGCATAATCGGTTGTGGCGACAAACGCGATTAGGCCGGCTGCAGGGACACCGTAATGTCGCACCCGCCCCAGCACCATTCAAACAATTCCCTTTGGCAGTTCACGGTACGAACTTCAACAAAGCCCTGTGTAATGCGTACCAGGGGAAGGCTAGACAGCATGTCTCCAGACATCAATAGGCATTGTATGAAAAGCCAGTCAATAGCACTAAAGAGCGAAATCCTTTTCAAAGTTCGGTTTCACTCGCGCACCGGGCCCGAGCTGGCAGCACAAATAAACGCCGGGCGCGAGCTGGCAGCACGAACAAACACCGTACTCACACGAATACCGTTGGGCCAACAGATGGCCACAGCCATCAAAAATAGGAACAAGCCCATCCACGGCTTCTTTCTCTTGCTAGCTGTGCTGCGGCGTGCATCCAACTGTTCTGCAATTTCTCCCTCCACTCACGCCTCCTGGAATTTATTATCGCTCTACATTCTCGTATGTCTGACAATGAGTGCCACTCAGCATGATGGTACTCCAAGCTACATGTACATGTATTTGCATAATTTGATCTGTCCTTGCTCACTATTCTTGACAAATTTCAATTGCAATGAAGCGCCGGTTGCCGGCGGGGGGCATTCGGCGGCTTGGTCTGATTCCTAGCTTGTTGGTAACCGGCTTGAGATCTCCAAGGTTGCTATGACAACGTGCAGTCATGCGCAGGGCCACCCAACATGCATTGGGGGCCCAGGAAAGACAGAAACACGTTGCTAGGCAACAGCAAAAGAGCTAGGCGAGTATCACGCTACTCATGCAGCGCGCACGTTGGCGTAGGGTGTCACGCTACCCTTGTGCTGCGGGGTACCACATTGCCCCTAGCTGGAATCAGACCCGCGCCCTGGATACCTTGCGCTGGCCTCCTGACGGCCAAACTCAACCAACTTGTGCTCTATGACTGGGGTTGCGCATCGGAGCTTCAAGCTTCGATATAACAGTGTATTGCCTATGATGTCATAAATATTTCCACTCAAATCCAACCGGAACTTCACAGCATGCAAAAAATAAAATCACGAAACCACATCAGCAAAGTTGCCTTTTTTATTTCCGCTCGACCGAAGTGATTAGTAAATCTTGGCTCTTCTTCTCTCGCGATTAGAAATGGACGAAAACACGACCCGTCAAGCTGTTTCGTCAGCCGTTTTAGACCTCCTTGGTCCTATCAATGATCGTTTGCGTGTTTTGGAAGCTGGACCGAGCCTGGCCGAGGGCCAGTCCTCGCGATCCAGGGAATCGGATTCCGAAGTTTCCAGGTTGGGTGCAGGCACTCAATCTCAGGAGATCGCCAGTTCCTTGGGCAGGCCCAAGTCTGGTTTATCTCGTGGAAGTTTGTTACTTCCACCTAGCTCCTCGAGTGGGCAGGCCTGCTCGAGACGCTGAATTGCACGACACCACGAGTGGGCAGGCACCCTCGTGTGTGGACGTAAGCACAGAGGACCCGGAGCATGCTCCGGTGTCCTCAGAGATCAAGCAGTTCCTGCAAACTCGTTTCAGGAAACCCTTGAAAAGCAAGGAGCGCAGGGACCTGGTGGAACAGTTTCCCCGGCCTGAGGTGGACGTGGCGGTCACACCGAAGCTGGACCAAGAAGTGATGAATTTGCCTGGTGTTCGGCAGTCTTTCAAGAAGTCGCGAGACAACACCTTGTACTCGCTGCAGAGCAATGTATTGGACTGTTTAGGTCCCCTCTCTGCTCTAATGATGGAAGCCAGGGCAGCGCAGGACGCTGGCACAGGCCTGGATCCGCAAGCAGTGTTGGATATGGTGCCGGCTGGTTTGTCCCTTCTGGGCAACGCCAATAACAAGATATCCGTGCTGAGGCGTCAGGAGTTCCTGGAACACCTGGACAAGAGCCTTGTTCCTATGGCGGAGGAGCCTTTCGACAAGGCAGGCACGGCCCTATTCGGCCCAGAGCTGATGGACCGCATCCAATCCAAGGCGGAGTCCCAAAAGGCTCTGGGCTTGGTGGTCAAACAATATAAGGACGCTCGAGCTCCCCCGAAGCCGAGCACCAGCAAGTCTGGCTCTGGAGGACCACCAGCGGGTGGACGCCAGTTTTTTCGAGGGGCCGGGGTCAGCAGGTACGGCGGTGGCTCCCGGTACCAGCCCTACAGCAGCCCGTACAATCAGACCCAGTACAGCTCAGCAGGTCGGGGCTATGCCAACCGAGGTCGGATGCTCCCCCCCGACCAGGCAGCAGGACGGGCAAGGAGCGAACACCAGCTACACAGCAAAGCGGGGCCGCTCCTAAGCCATTTCCTCCCTCCAGCGGTGCAAATGTTAGTGCCGGAGGAGGTCTGGGTCGCCGAGTCATTGCTGCCAGACTGGCGGATGCGGTTCGCTGTCTCGGCGCAGGACTGGGCTTTGCCCCTCGGGGGTCGCCTAGCCCTTTTCGCCAGCGAGTGGAGGCAGCTGTCTGCCGATCCCTGGATTCTCAGAGCTATTCAAGGTTACCACCTCGAACTCCATCCGCAGCCTACCCAGAACAGCGTGCCCAGCTCCCGACCCTTGTCCGCCTCCGAGCAACAAGCCATGTCTCAGGAGGTTCAGTCTCTCTTGGAGAAAGAGGCAGTCAGGAGTGTGGATTCCTGGGAGCCGCCAGGATTCGCGAGTGCCGTGTTTGTGGTTCTGAAAGCAGGCGGGAAGATGCGGCCTGTTGTCGACCTGAGGATATTGAACAGCTTCCTGCCCTACCACCATTTCAAGATGGAGGGCATTCATTCCCTGCGCGATCTTCTCCAGCCGGGGGACTACATGACCAAAATCGATCTCAAGGATGCGTATCTGACAGTGCCGATTGCGCAGGACGACAGGAGATTCCTGCAATTTCTCTGGCAAGGCACGAGATACGAGTTCCAGTGCCTGCCATTTGGTCTGTCTGTGGCCCCCTGGGCATTCACAAAGATTCT